AAAAGTAGCCTGTCTGCGTCAAAATAGCAAGCCGAACGTATCCTAATCCGCGGACTACGATACGCAACGGAATCCAGTGTCCCCACTCACTCTCCAGCAGGCGTTGACCTAGTAAACCCGAGCATCTCGCTTGTCCGAGAGATCTCCTTGTCCTATGGCCGCCGCAACCGCCGCCGACTTGGTCGCCGAAGCACTCCCCTCCAACGTCTCCTCGGACTCGGACTCGGACTCCGACGACCTTCTCCTCCCGAACCTTTCCTCCACCGCCGCACCCTCCTCCCCATCGCGCGCGGAGCTCCACCACTTCCAAATCCCCTCCCTCCCGGCCCCCATCACCGTCCGCGCGCTCCCCTCGCGGGGCCTCTCGTTCCAGCTCTGGCCCTCGGCCTCCACCCTCCTGCGAGTTCTCCCCGCCACCCCGCGCCTGCTCCCGCGCCCGCCCGCCCCGGGGAGCCCCCTCAGCGTCCTCGAGCTCGGCTCCGGCACCGGCGCCGCGGGGCTCGCCCTGGCCGCGGCGCTCCCGGCGCGCGCCGTCCTCTCCGACCTCCCCGACGTGCTCCCCAACCTCCGCCACAACGCCGAGCTCAACGCGCCCCTCCTCGCCTCCGCCGGCGGCGCCGCCTCCGTCGTGCTGCTCCGCTGGGGCGATGCCGCCGCGATGGCGGACGTGGCCGCGGCGCAGGCGGCGTCGTCCCCGTTCGACCTCGTTGTGGCGTCGGACGTGGTGTACTACGAGGCGTTGGTTGACCCCTTGATAGAGACGCTGCGGTTCTTCGTCAAGGGGGAGGTGGTGTTCGTCATGGCGCACATGAGGCGGTGGAAGCGCACGGACAAGAAGTTCTTCGGCAAGGCGAGGAAGGTGTTCGACGTTGAGGTGGTTCACGAGGACCCACCGCTCGAAGGCTGGCGCCACGGGCCGGTGGTTTACCGGTTCACCGCCAAGAAGCAGCACGGGAAGAAGTGAAGAAAGTACCTTAAGGTAAAGGCTGCTTGCTTGCCTATGCCTGTGTTCATGTTGCACCGCTGCTGCTACTGCTGCTGTCTGGACCAAAACTGGAAAATAGTTTGTTGCGTGCTAGATTCTAATGTTGGAAACAGAAAATAGTTCCTGTGAACAATGTAACATTGTGCAACTCTGGACCAAAACTGGGTTGAGTTTGCAATGTAACATTGTGCAACTCTGGACCAAAACTGGGTTGAGTTTGCAGTTGGACGCATACTGATTTTAGATTGTATCGGTGGGTTTTGCTCTGGTTTACTATATATTGAGTTCAATGTAAGTGTCATATTACATTTTCGAATTCCATGAGTTTTAAGGAATCCTATTCTTTCCACTTTTGGTGTTAACTTATGTTGAGTTTCAACTCTAACCTACCCAAACTTGTGGACAAAAAGGCTTTTTTGTTGTTGAAGGATTATGTAAGCTACATTTTTTTTCTAAAAAGTTCTTATGTGTAATAAAAAATATGATTGAACTACGAGGTAGTTGGCACATGTGCTTTGCAAGGGTGCTTATCTTGTAGTTCCGACATGATGAAATTGCTGATAATGCTATTGTGTTTCAGCTTTCAAGTGATGACTGACCTCCAGTGAAGAGATCAATCACTATGTGCCTCATCATGCCTGAAAACTTGTGACCGTTGTTAATTAAGGCAGTTCGGCTGGTCAGTTTTTCAGCCGGAATTCCATGTTTCCGGCTGAAAACACTGTTCACTCTCTCACAAATTCATCCAGATTTCTCCAAATTTCTCCAAGCGAACAGGGTTGGTTCGCTTCGCTGAAATTTGGCTTATACTGATGCTTATGCTGATTTGTTGTGAGAGAAAAACACTATTCGTTTGCTGAAAAGTATTGCTAAAGTAGTTCAAGCGAGTGGTATTATACCCACATTATTGTTTGGATGGTGTAATTTCAAGTTTTGTACCGCCAAACTGCTTCTAGGTCCTTGTGCGATACAAAACAAATATTTGCTTCATCATTAACTGAAGTAACATAAATTAACTGCTAGTTTCAGACTTTCCAACACCACTTCGAAGCCGTTATGCGATATATCCTCTCGTATGAAAGGTTCCCTTCATGAGTTACAGGGAAACCCTGGATCTTATTACTCAATGTCTCTGATGCCTTACACCTTAAGGCCCCGTTTGGCCGGGCTCCGGCTTCCGCACTGTTCACCTATCGGCTCGTGGGTGGCCGACAGGACGCTACACTGTTCACCAAAGCCGTTTTTCTCTCTCATCCTTTTCTCTCTCACTAACACCACCGGAGTTGGAGAAGCTCGTTTTTCTGGCTCCCGCGGCTCCGGCTCCCGTTGGCACCTATCGGCTCATGGGCGGCCGACAGGACGCTACAGTGCAGGAGCCGGAGCCCGCGGGAGCCCGGCCAAACAGGCCCTAAGTTATGTTGTGTCCTTTCTAAAGAGGGAAGTTGTCAAACATAGCACGCAGGGAAACTTTCGAAAGGTACATCTTAAAAACTAATGATAAGGAGGCTTTTACATGTGTGCTATTAAAAAAGTTTGTAATTACACATAGGTCATTAAAAAAGTTAGCCGCACACATATGCCACTGTTCTGAACTTCTTTGCTCTCCAAGCCATTCCATCCGCATTTCGTTCGTTTTTCACCGTTTGGGAGTCCTGACAAGTGGGTCAGGTCAGTCAAAACATCCATAATACCCCTCTCATCCCTATCCCCTCTCTCTCTCAAACTCGACCTCATCTCTCTTCATCTTGCACGCGCCGCTGGCTTCGCCAGCGCCCAGTGGTGGCGGGCGAAGGCGGGCTCGCCGTCTTGGCTACCACGGTGGCCGGGCGGAGCTCCCAGCACCATGCAACTGGTCGGGCAGAGCTTCGCTCGCCCACCATGGCCGGTTGTCCGGGCCGAGCTCGCCGCCCGCATCGCACAAGTGGCCGTGTCTGGGCCGAAGCTCACCCAGCGCCACAAGTGGCCGGGTGAGCTCACTCACTCAGGCCATCACATGCATGGCGGCGGGCGGACCTCCTCGCGTCACCTCCACGCGCGCTGCATCAGATCCATGGCGAGGACCGGTTGCGGCAGCTCCACACGCGCCGCCTCCTGGCTCTCGCCGACGCCGTTGGGGACGAGGCCGCCTCCCTGCACGCTGGGGCCCTCGACGTCGCTGTCGGGGCTCGTGCCGCCGCTGCAGCTCCCCGCCATCTCCTTCTTGGCTGCTTGTTGGCGCTGGGAGCCGCGCACCGCACTCGCCCGTGGCGTGGCTGACAAACGGACCCCACCGTAGGGTAAAATGGTCATTTCACCTGTCTGTTTGACACCGTTAAGTAGAAAAGCGGACGGAATGGCTTGGAGAGGAAAGAAGTTAAGAACGATGGCATATGTGTGCGGTCAACTTTTTTAATAGCCTGTGTGTAATTTCAAACTTTTTTAATGGCATACATGTAAAAGCCTCAATGATAAGTAGGTAATTGGCATGCCAGAGCTGGCCTTCACCTGATATAGGACAATAGTAGAGCTTGACCATATCCAAAGCAAAGGAAAAAGGAAAAGAGAGAGAAGAAATGAAAACTTGATCTTCTAATTGATATAAACAATATAAGAACGGCCAGCACAGAAGTCTAGTTGGTAGATGAATGTCATAGCTTCACCCAGATTACTGCATTTACATAAACATAATCATTGCCAAGAGCATTTCAGTGCATAATACTTATGTCCTTGACAGCCTATAGACAAGTTGTAAACATCCTGATAAAGTCAATACAAGTATTTTGGCTGTTACTTTAGGTGCCTCTCAAATACCATCGGCACAAAACACAATTAAACATATTTAGCATATAATAAAAGGGAAGTTGACAGACCTAGTAACCCGTCTGAGGTAAGTGAACAGAGGGAGGTGAACTAGAAGCGTTGGTTGCACTGGACGGGCTTGTTGTCTTCGCATAAACGTTGGACCCCTCCAGCTCCTTCTGTGTTCCATCAGACGAGGTGTAGGAAAACCTGCAAAGATGGATTGGTGGTGCAAAATACATTGCCACAGGCATCTTTGGTGGAAGGCTTGGCAATGGTGCCTCAAGCTTCAATACACTTATGACCTGGCGGATCGAAGGTCGGAAATTGTAGTCTGGGTGTGCACACCAGAGCCCCACAATCATCAAGCACATGACTTCACGCTCATCCAATGCACCATCAAGCCTCCCATCAACTGCATTAAGGATCTCATTTCTTCCATAGAGATCCCACACCCATGGAACCAGATTGATCTTGTCATCATCTTCCTTTAGCACAATAGGCCTCCTTCCACAGGCAACCTCCAATGCAAGAACACCAAAGCTGTATACATCAGATTCTTTGCTTGCTTTGCCAGTGGTGACGCACTCTGGAGCCAAGTAACCCATTGTGCCAGCTATCACTGTAGTCTGTGAGCCTCGGTCATGGTCTACAAGACGTGCCAGCCCGAAGTCCCCAAGCTTAGCATTGAATGAAGAATCAAGCATCACGTTGCTTGGCTTGACATCACGGTGCACAACACATTGCTCCCACTCCTCGTGGAGGTACAGGAGGGCAGATGCAACACCGATGGTGATCTTGAACCGCAATGGCCATGCTAACAGGTTACAATTGTCATATAGGTGTGCGTCCAAGCTCCTGTTTGGCATGAACTCATACACGAGCAAGAACTCCCCATGCTCATGACACCAGCCCACAAGTTGTACAAGGTTCCTATGCCTCAGCCGACTGATGATCTTGACCTCAGAGATGTACTCCTTCTTCCCCTGTGTTGATCCTTTGGCAACTCGTTTTATGGCGATGTTGAGGTTTTGATCCTTCAAGAAACCCTTGTAAACTGCTCCAAAGCCTCCTTCTCCGAGTTTTCTCTCCAAAGCAAAATTATTTGTAGCAGCCACAAGTTCATTGTATTGAAATCTTCTTGGACCCCTCCCTTTCTCAAACTCACCGTCAATGGACTCATCATATTCTAGCTTCTCTTCTTCCTCCTTTCTTGTCCTCCTAGTCTTTTTAAAACTCATGAAGCACCAAACCAAACCAAACCCATAAAACAGACTATGCCACTTATACTAGTAGCCAAGCTTATGACTAATACACTTTTCATCTTCTTACTCTTCAGCTGCAAATCAGTAGAACGGAATTCCCAGTAAAGTATCTGATGAGCCTCTACCAATTGACCAGTGGCAGCTGAGAAGCCGATGGCCAGTTTTTCTGGGAGATATTTTCTGAGATCAACTGAATAAGATAGGGAGGAGCTGCCACTGAATTGGGGGCTGTCCTTGTACGTCAAGAAGACACACAGGTTCCTGGAGCTGGCCTGGTAAGTTACCCATGCGTTGGCTATCTTGCCATCCTTGATGCTACTGTTCCATGTTACATAATCCACAGATACGATGGAATGGATATTGATACCTACGTGGTTGTCATCTGGATCCCATGGGTTCTTGTGGCTGTCAAACTCGACAGCCACAATCTGGTTGGATGTCTCACTCTGATCAGCACTACTACCGAAGAGGCCAAGATTACCATCCGTGGAATTATTGGGGACAACAGAAGGGTATGGTGAGAGGAAGAAGGCGAGCCCCTCACCATACGAGCCATCAGCAACACGAGCTTTTATCATGAATGTGAAGCGAGTTGTGAAGTCAGCTAACTGACCAGTGGTGCTATCCCAGAGGGTCACCGGATCTGCGAAGACTGCTCGGCCGACACTATGAGCAATCTGGCCATCCAGCTCTTCCTTGGTAAGCCTGATCGCCCTGTTGTAGAAGGCATCCTCCTGCAACTGGATTGTGGTTGCTCCCTTGTTGTTCGACTCGGTGAAGTTCAGCTTGAAGGACAGAGGACTGACACCAGTGATATTGAAAGATACGATTACGTGGAGAGCTAAAAAGCAAGTAGTTGTGCTTCTTGATCTCATGGCTGGTGATAAAACTGGAGGGAGACGGAAGGAAGGAGAGGAGAGGCAAGGAGCTGAAAAACCTTTTCCTATGCTTGCTGATGTAAATAACTATGAACTCTCAACTTGGTCAGTTGTCGATTACTTCACAGTCCACACACGCTTCTTGTTTTTTTGTGCATCAGTACTGGCGCACTGCGCTTGTCAATAGGGCACAAAGGACAGGTGTAAGCTAGCCACAGGAGAAGCAGCTCAAATTTGGAGTTTATATTGATTGTACCAGAGGTGGATGTAAAATAATGGGATGATGTTGAACTACAAATTGAAAGTTTCCAGAGGGAGGATACTGAAGATGCTTGGTTTGTATCGCCATTGCCGGCCTAGAGCATAGACAAAAACAGATAGTAACACGCAAGAAGGTCAAGAATAGTCCCACACACAGCTTTGTTTGGTTGCCGGCCAAAGAACTTTGCTTCTTTCAGCAAATGGAACAGGTTTCATCTGTGATATCCCTGGAGCTCAGAGGATCCTTTCCATCTGGCATCTGTGCTTACCAAACTGGGTGTGGAGGGGTGTCAGTCTGTTTGGGTCTATGTATGGCTCATTTTTCTTCTACTAATACAATGATACGTAGCTCTCCTACGTGTTCGAGTAAAAAGAATGGGTCGCTGTGTTTTGTTATCATATGGTTCGATAACACAGCATTCCGTGTATCTGTATCTAATTTATTACCTGGCCCTAAAGATCAGGTCAGTGACACTGTGACAGCCTGAGAGGTAGTAAAAGTTTTGTTTCTTAATACTGTGTAAGCTTCAGCCTGTGCGGAAACCTGGCGCAAATAAGATCACACGTAGTTGTAAGGGGTATTCTTATAATCTGATGTGTTCAGAATTCAGAACTAATAAAATCAACTACTTGATCTTTGTGGCATAAAAAAAGGGGTAAAGTACACTTTCCAACCCTCAACTCGCGCCGAAGTTCGATTTTCAACCTTCAACTATGAAACCGGTTAAGAAACACCCTCCAACTATCAAAACTGGACAAATTTGGTCCTCTCGACTGGTTTCAAAAGCGGTTTTCTATTTTCGAGAGGCACCAAAATTTTATATTATTTTTTTGAGCATCTTAACGTCCTCATTTGAAAACACTCAAAACTACAAAGTTGTAGAAAACAATAACTGTGGTATGAAATAGACTCAAATTTCTCCAAAAATCATAACCCTTCAATACGGTGTCGGATGAAGATAATTTTTATATGTAAATTGTAGACCTCGATGAGATCTACAACTTTATAGTTTTAATTTTTTTTATTTGAGGACAGTAAGATGCTCGAAAAAATAATATAAAATTTCAGCATCATAATAATCGCCTACTAGCGCTTACCGCATTAGAGCACTAATATATTATTTGTATAGAGTTAAATGAAAATACTTTTTATACCAAAGTTGTAGCTCTCAATGAGATCTACAACTTTGTAATTTTGAGTTTTTTCATTTGAGGACGTTAAGATGCTAAAAAAATAATATAAAATTTTGGCGCCTCTCGAAAATAGAAAACCGCTTTCGAAACCAGCCGAGAACCAAATTTGTCCGGTTTTGATAGTTGGAGGGTGTTTCTTAACCGGTTTCATAGTTGAAGGTTGAAAATCGAACTTCGGCGCGAGTTGAGGGTTGGAAAGTGTACTCTACCCTAAAAAAAACCTACTTGATCTTTGTAACTGCCGTCGAATTGGGTTTGTTTATCAAATCTGTCTCAATATGCTTTGTCCAGTATCTCAATATCTCATTGGGCATTGCCCCATAAAACAATCTCTGAAAATCAGAATTAATAATAAGGAAAAAAGGGGGCAAGCAAGGGGAACTTGTACCTTCATTGCAAAATCTATGCACAAGACACAACATCCATGTTAAATCCCGCCAAAACACACACACGCACGCACACACGCACACTATAGACCCCTAGAAGAGTAGTACAGATATACTGTTCTATCCATGCAGAGCTGCCATATACAGAAATGAGCAAGTCAAAAATACTGAAGAAAATATACATTATATATTGATGAAGCAGTCATTTGCTCATCGTGAATCCTTAGAACTCGCCGGTGTTGTGTCATCGGTCGGCCAGACCACTGTCTCAACCAACCTTTGGCGCATGATATCCAGGTTCTCTTTCGAGATCCGCTCGTACATCATCGTGTGGTCGCATTTCTGCTCAGACGCAGGTTTCAACAGAAAGGTAAGTTAATTACCCTGTTTATGCCATCGAATATCTCTTGTTTTTCAGATTCAGCTAAATTTTAGTTCGTTCTCTGCATCACTACCTTGATCCATTTGCCGTATAGGTGGAGGCGCGTGACCATCACTCTCTCCGCCAGGTCTTGTCTCTCCTATCACACGCGAACAAGAAACAGATCGAGTAAATGAACCCTGGAACAATGCTTGGAGGGGACACTCGTGTTTTTGTCAGTTTCGTCAGAACAAGAAGCGAAGGAGAAAATCAGATATATATACCTTGGCGAGCAAGCGAAAGAAATAATCGCCATCTAATGGATCGTTGACGTTAATGTAACCGACAAAAGAGTTGTGTTATCGTATAATTTAGAAGAAAAAAAAAACAGTTGCACAAACAAAGGAGGTAGTACAAATTGGGACTGAAGAATTCAGTCCACTCACCTGTAGAGCCAAGTGTACGCTGGGGGATTCATCTCGTACAGCTGATGGAGGACCGTGTGCGTGGCCTTGTAAGTGAAGTAGTTGATGATGTTCTGCACACACAACACAAGCACGGACGGTTGGTAAATCATCAGTCAATTCACACACCACACCAGGATAAACGTGTCAATGCCGCCTTCGACGACGACGACGAGTCAATGTAAATCGACGATGCCACATGTTTGAGCGGAGCTGAGTTGGTGAGTGCGGCCGGCGCATGCACCATATGTACCTTGTGCACGTCTTCGAATCCGTCCTCGTACGTCCCGCCAAACTCGGCCACGACGCCGAGCCCGCGGCCGTGGCCCATGACTCGGCCCCCGCTCGGCGCCGGCCATGCCCGTGCCAGCGCGCGCCGGCAGGGTGGCCACCTGAACACGTCAGTCGTCCCGATCGCCGCCCGCGGCGAAATGCCCCGACACGCGGCGGGAAGGTAGACGTCATGGAACACAATACCTCTGAAACGTAGATCAGGGGATAAACATCTTATTTAGATGGAGAAACTGATTCCTCTACTTCGCCCTGGCGTAGTTGCGCCGCAGCCGCGTGGACGCCGGTGTCGTGGGAGCTCGGCGCGGTGGAGTCCAGCATAGTGGTGGCGATGCAGAGGCGACGGTGACGCGAGGTGCCGTGGTCCAGTGGTGGCAGCGAAGTCAGTGGATCTTTCCGTCGTTGGCAGCACCCTCTTTAGATCGGGTTAGGTTTTTGCTGTTGGTGGGTCACGGCGGCTCAGGTCAACCTCGTAGTTAGAGTCCTGGTCCCACCTCTCTTTATAGTGCTGTGTGACGGGGGTCCACCAACCGTGGAGTGGTTGGACGCCCCCGATCAGGACGTTGATCCAAGGGCCCATGGGCCAATTGGTGGAGATCAAACTAACATTCTTCCCCTTAATCTTACACCATCTTTCAATTTTATATCATTTACTTTTGTTCATTCTATTACAGATTAGCGCATATAGCATGTTTCATCGTCACGGTCAATTGCCGATAGATTTAACAACTACAACACACCACTCTGTTCTGAAATAGATACTTAACTTTGGGTCTTTTTTATCCAGAAACTATAGGCTTTCTCTTAAACCCATGTCGGCTATATGTTCTCTGAATACATTGGGTGGTAAGCCTTTTGTAAGCAGATTCGCGAGCATCTTTTCGGTACTTATATGCTCAAGACTTATGACATGATCTCGGACTTTATCTTTCACAACATAATACTTTATGTCAATGTGTTTGGCAGCACCACTTAACTTATTGTTGTGAGCATACTGTACTGCGGATTATTGTCGCAGTATAACTTAAATGGTCTATAGATGTCGTCAACCACCTTCAAACCGGGTATGAACTTCTTTAGCCAGTTCACCTGCCCCGTTGTCTCATAACACGCTACAAACTCAGCATACATTGTAGACGATGTAGTGACGGTTTGCTTTGAGCTTTTCTATGAAATAGGTCCCCCTGCGAGAGTGAATACATATCCAAACGTGGATTTTCTATCATCTCCCGCATTATCAGAATCTGAATATCCCACTATATGGAGTGAATCTGATCTTCAATATGTCATCATGAGGCTTTTCGTTCCTTGCAAATAACGCAAGACTTTCTTTACTAATTTTCAGAGTTCTATTTCAGGATTGCTTTGGAATCTGTCAAGTAACCCAGTAACAAATGTCAAGTCAGGGCGCGTACATACTTGAGCATATTGCAAGCTTTCGACAGCTGAAGCATATGGAACCGTTTTCATTTGATCAATCTCATACTGATTCCTGGGGCATTGAAAATCCCCATATCTATCGCCCTTGACTATAGGAGCATATGAGGGACTACATTTGTGCATATTGAAATTCTTTAAGATCTTTTCTATGTATGCCTTTTGTGACAGCCTTAATACCCCTTTACTTCTATCTCAGTGAATCTCGATCCCTAGAACGAACGAAGCTTTACCAAGATCTTTCATATCAAATTTTGAGGATAAAAACTTCTGTCTCCAGTAGTAGACTGACATCACTACTAGCAAGTAAGATATCATCCACATACAGGACAAAGAAGATAAACTTCTCATTCTTAAACTTTTGATAGACACAATTATCCTCTACATTATCTTTAAACCCAAAATTTCTTTATTGTCTAATCAAACTTCAAGTACTACTGTCTTGAAGCTTGTTTTAATCTATAAATGGATTTCTCTAGGCGGCATCCCATTCGTTCTTTTCCTTTCATGACAAAACCTTTCGGTTGTGCCATGTAAACATTTTCCTCCAAGTTCCCGTTGAGAAATGCCGTTTTTACATCCATCTGATGTAATTCTAAATCGTAATGTGCCACTAATGCCATTATGATTCTGAAGAAATCCTTACATGAGACTAGAGAAAAGGTCTCACTGTAATTAATCCCTTCTCTTTGCGTAAAGCCTTTTGCCACAAGTCGCGTTTTATATCTCTTTATATTCCCTTGAGAGTCAAGTTTTGTTTTGTAGACCCATTTATAGCCTACTGTTTTGGCTCCTTTAGAAATTATTTCCAAGTCCCAAACTTTATTGGCATTCATAGATTTCATTTCATCTTCCATGGCATCAAGCTACTTTGATGAATGATCACTTCTCATAGCTTCTTCGAATGAGGTGGGATCATTCTCCATTTGAAATTTCTTAGTGTTGTATACTTCATAGTCAGCAGGAATAGCTGATTTTCTAACTCTTTGAGACCTTCTAGGGGCCTCCACATTTGGCACATCTTCTGTTTGAGGCTGTTGTTGCTCCCCCTCATGTGTGGCAATAGGTTGTACAGGATCCTATAGAACAGGTTCCTGATCATCATTCATTGTTTCCACAGGCGGAATAACAACAGGTGCTGGCACCACAGTATCTTACACTGTCGGTGCAGCGACAGCAGGTAGTGAGAAAAATGGCTCATGAATCATCGGAGTCGGCGCATACACCCGCTTCTCTTCAAGGTTAATTTCTCGAGCTACCATGCTCCCCCTCATCATTTTATCCTCTAGAAAGACAGCGTGTCTCGTTTTCATAAACTTTGTATGTCTGTCTGGACAGTAGCAATAAAAAACTTTTGACTTTTCTGGGTTGCCAATGAAATGGCAACTTACTATTTTAGGATCTAGCTTCCCAATATTTGGATTAAATACTTTAGCCTTAGCAGTACCCCCCCACACACACACTTGTAAGTGGTTTTGTGAGGGTACTCTTCCTGTCCACAACTCATATGGTGTTTTGGGCACCGACTTACTTGGTACTCTATTGAGAATATGAATGGCGGTTTTTAACGCCTCTATCTACAGGCTCAAACGGTAAGGTGGAGTAACTTATCATACTATGCACCATATCCATCAGGGTATGATTGCGTCTTTCAGCTATTCCATTCTGCTGAGATTCGCCCGGTGTAGAATACTGGGCTACTATGTCATTCTCCTGTAAGAACCTTGTAAAAGATCTAGGAACTTGGTCATATGGGGTATGCCGACCGTAGTACTCCCCCCCTCCACGGTCGAACCTGACTATCTTAATCTTTAAATTGTGTTGATTTTTAACTTCTGCCTTAAATATCTTAGATTTATCCAATGCTTCTCTTTTTTCTTTGATTAGATAAATGTAGCCATAACAGGAGTAATCATCTGTGAATGTTATGAACGAATCATAACCATCCACACACTTTACAAGAAATGGACCACAAATGTCTGTGTGAATAATCTGTAAAATTCCTGCGCTTCGTTTGGCATCTTTCTTAATTTTCTTTACATACTTTCCTTTTATGCATTCTCTACATTGTTCTAAATCTGAGAACTCTAATGGAGGAAGAATATCATTCTTAACTAGTCTTTCTATTCTTCCCCTCAAAATATGGCCTAAACGACAATGTCATAATTTCGACGACGCATCGTGAGCTCTCTTTCGTTTTCTATTTACATCCGCAGACAAGGATATATTCTTATTGTCGCACGCAACGTTCCCATCATCGCATACAACATTCACATCATCATGTAGTGATAACAAATAGTATGTGCTCTCTTATGCCACCATTTCCAGAGTACCTCTCTGTCACCAGCTGCTTTATCAGCTGGGTAGCATATATCTTTGAAGAGCTAGTGAACTGACTCTTTATTCTATCGAGGAACTCGGTGACCGTGTCATACTCTGGGATTGAGCCCACAATTGTAGGCTCAATCGTGTTCTTTATCACAGCCAAATATTTCTTGTTGGCAGTGATCCACTTCCTATGCTTAAGGTCATAGGACATCTTTTGGGATTCAAAATCCCTCTCTCTAGTTGTTCAAGCGGCATCAGCCTCGTTTGTCTTCCTCACCGATGCCACAGGCTCAGTGGGACACGGTGAGGTGACTACCCAGTCCACCTCAGCCAAGATGAAGACCAGGTCAATCTTTTTCTTCCACTCTGTGTAGTTGTCACCTTTGAGAGTGGGGATCTCTTTGATACAACCCATCAATTGTATCTGCCTTAAAACACAATTCATATAGAGTGAGAACATAAATAATAACAACAATTGCATGCCTTGATTCTAACGTTGGTCAAAATTAAAACATACAACTATTTATACATTAAATCTACATCACCGTTAGGTAGAAATAAAAATAATGCATAAAATCATTAAAATTATGATATTGTTATTAACAACGTTGATCAAAAAATAATAACATCATAATCATGTCAAAATCTCTTTTTCTCCAATTAAATATTCCGTTGGTTCAAAACAACTGGAGAATAAACAATTTCTTTAGCAACGGAAAACGTAAAAAGTTATCTATTTTTCAGAAGCATTTCTCTGTAATTTCTCAATTCTCTAAAAATTTATCCTGATGGTTCAAAATTTAACAGAGAAATAAAACAAAATTCATCAAAATTCACTTCTAAAAAATAATAAAACAAAAATTACTCTTCTATTCATTTTGGCTCGGCCTCTGGAAAAACAGTACGCGGCCCAGCTCTACAGCGCAGCAGCGCACGGCCTAGCTCTACAGCGTAGCAGCGTGCGGCCCAGTCCAACGAAATTGGCCCGGCCTGCTCTGCTGACGCGCGCGCTGTGCCTCCCAGGCCACAACCTGGGCCTAGGCCGGCAAAGCCGCCCGCTCGCGCGTTCGCGCCTGGGCCAGACGCTGGTCCGATCAACGCTGGTCGTTCATCTGAGATCAACGGTCATTCGCGCGTCTCGGGTGATCAAAAGCGTGTCGCGGTCGGTGCTCCCAAAACCCTAATTCCATTTTCATCTTCCATTTCTCTCTCTCATCCCCGCGAGCGACAGAGCGCAACCGAGAGGTTGAAGCGGACACGACGCAGGGGATGGCG